GGAATTCATTAATCAAACAATCAGAATTAATAGGCTGTCTGTCACTGGAATGAAGTCAGTACATTTTGATTCAACCTCCAAGGGGCAGGTTTATTTGAAACCAGGCAATCACATGACTTTATGCCTCCAAAATATGCATAAAGTCAAAAGTGTTGTTATTGGCTAGCAGTCTGACCTACATAACGCTATTAACGATTCTCTGCGCTATGATCAGCAGCTAATCAGGGTTGCCCTAGTTAAGTAACATCAGAGAGAGCCAGAGTGCCACCAACTGGAGCGTTGGCAGGGAAAACTCCAGGAAGGCTCACACAGAAACCTTATTCGGATTCTCAATATGTATTTAGACACTAAAGCAAATTCTTTTACTATATATGTTCACTGAAACATTTATATATAGCTCAAATGCATGCTTTTGGCATTAATTTAAGAGTATGCACATTCTTATTAAAGGGATTGTTCAATCAAGTGTTACTTTATTGCCGCTGAAGGGAGAATTAATAATAAACCTAATAGTGAAACTCTAAAACAGCACTAAATGTGACTTTCCAATATAACCACAAGATCAAAACAGATAAATGATTACATGTTTTCCTGTTAAAAAGGTTATTGCAGGTGTTAAACTCTGTGAAGGCTCTGGTTCTGCTAGGATGCCCAGTTCCTTTTTTTAATGGATCCAAGGTGATAGGACAGTTGTTGTTTTTTTTGGTATGGATAATTTCTTCATTAGATAAATTATGGAGATTAAAGGTCTTAAGATGTTTTCAAGTGTTTGCATCCAGTAGATTTTCTATGAAATCACATCAAGAGCTTCCTGTGCCAATAAAACTGCCCATCCCTTGGAAGTAAAAAGAAAAAAATTCCATCGGATAAAAAAGCATTAAGTGAGAATAAATTTGATATTCAGCTAAAGAAAGTAAAGCACTGGTGATGTAAGCAATGCAAAAGGCTATGGTGGATTATCACAGGAGCAGCTCCTTGTGAAGAAAATCCAGCAAGAGAAGTAGACACGTTAGGAGGGTAGGCATGCATGCATGTATGGGAGTTTACCACTTGACTTTGATCAGTGTTTGCTGGGAACAAAAAAAGAAAAACATCTACTGAAAAATGTGAAGAAATTTTGGAGCAGCTCTCTATGGACTGATGAAAGAGAGCAAGAAAGACCACATTTCCCCTTAGAGAGTTTGAAGGAAGCTGAATGAATTCTGAGGTACACAGACATACTGTCAACATAAATTTAGCTTAGCTGAAGACTCAACCTTTAGAAAGGAAATATCCACAATCAAACAGAATCATTGCATGCAAATTAGTTTTGTTAAATGAATGCAAAAAATAATATTTTCCTTTTCAAGCATTTAAATGTGCCAAATGCACCAGAGCCCCTGGAATGAGGGGATTGTGTAAGAAGATGATTAGCTCTTGACAACAGCATCACAGTTCATCCCAGTGATGATGGAGAGTGGCACAGTCTTGAAAATAAAAAAAGTTAATTAATGGATCAGGGTGATGTTAAGAGTATGAATGAAAATGTGAAGCTAGAGAAAATTTTTAGACTTGTTTCCTTAAAAAAACGGAGACAGTGTATAAATATTTATTTTATAACCCAACAGAAGTGACAAATATGTGTCACTTCTGTTGGGTTATAAAATCCCGCCACCTGCTGGCCAACCCAACTTGGTTCATGTTGAATAATCCCTGAAGATTTTACTTGTGGTTTTACTTTCCCATCTTATTTAATTTTTTTAAAAATTTATATTCATTAAGGATCCAAATTCTATAGCAAAGTGCTGCTTCTACTCTTCCTGGGTACAAAGAGTAATTCTAAACACAGAATAAAATTATAATAGATTAAAATGGAATCCTCCCAAAATCAGCAGTTCTACATGACCTTGAGTTTGGACAATGCAACACAGGATTAGTTCTTAAGGCACAAAACCAGCCTTCCTGTCCATCTTTGCCCTCTGACCTGAATTAAGTAGAAACCTGTGGGTTGAAAGAGGAGAAGAATTAGACTTTCTTTACACAAAAAGGGCAAGGTGAAATCTTTTTTTTTTTTTACCAACACAAAAACTTTCTTTAGAAGAAGGGACTTAGGATTCTAAATGGTTCTTGGATTAAGAGCATTAATCAACTAGTGTGGCTTTTTTAGAGTAAGAAATTTAAACAAAAACAAAAATAACCAAACAATAATCAGTGTAAAAATGAAATAGTCACTTTAAAATGCCTGAACCCTATAAAGTAGTTTAAACCAGAACATTTGGAGTTCATATCGTTTGAGATATCGTCTTTTCACTGTTCACAAATTACTAACCAATAACTCTACTCAGCCTATAGCCAGTCGTCATGAGCCTGTACCTCTAATATGTTGGGTAGAAATGTGATATATAAAAAAAAAAAATAAAAAAATAATAATATATATATATATATATATATATATATATATATATATATATATATATATATATATATATATATATACACACACACATACAGTGGGGCAAAAAAGTATTTAGTCAGCCACCAATAGTGCAAGTTCTCCCACTCAAAAAGATGAGAGAGGCCGGTAATTTTCATCATAGATATACCTCAACTATGAGAGACAAAATGAGAAAAAAAAATCCAGAAAATCACATTGTCTGATTTTTAAAGAATTTATTTGCAAAATATGGTGGAAAATAAGTATTTGGTCAATAACAAAAGTTCATCTCAATACTTTGTTATATACCCTTTGTTGGCAATGACAGAGATCAAACGTTTTCTGTAAGTCTTCACAAGGTTTTCACACACTGTTGCTGGTATTTTGGCCCATTCCTCCATGCAGATCTCCTCTAGAGCAGTGATGTTCTGGGGCTGTCACTGGGCAACACGGACTTTCAACTCCCTCCAAAGATTTTCTATGGGGTTGAGATCTGGAGACTGGCTAGGCCACTCCAGGACCTTGAATGCTTCTTACGAAGCCACTCCTTCATTACCCGGGCGGTGTGTTTGGGATCATTGTCATGCTGAAAGACCCAGCCACGTTTCATCTTCAATGCCCTTGCTGATGGAAGGAGGTTTTCACTCAAAATTTGACGATACATGGCCCCATTCATTCTTTCCTTCACACGGATCAGTCGTCCTGGTCCCTTAGCAGAAAAAACAGCCCCAAAGCATGATGTTTCCTCCCCCATGCTTCACTGTAGGTATGGTGTTCTTTGGATGCAACTCAGCATTCTCTCTCCTCCAAACACGACGAGTAGAGTACTAAAAAGTTCTATTTTGGTTTCATCTGACCATATGATATTCTCCCAGTCATCGTCTGGATCATCCAAATGCTCTCTAGCAAACTTGAGACGGGCCTTGACATGTACTGGCTTAAGCAGGGGGACACGTCTGGCACTGCAGGATTTGAGTCCCTGGCGGCGTAGTGTGTTACTGATGGTAGCCTTTGTTACTTGGTCCCAGCTCTCTGCAGGTCATTCACTAGGTCCCCCCGTGTGGTTCTGTGATTTTTACTGACCGTTCTTGTGATCATTTTGACCCCATGGGGTGAGATCTTGCGTGGAGCCCCAGATCGAGGAAGATTATCAGTGGTCTTGTATGTTTTCCATTTTCTAATAATTGATCCCACAGTTGATTTCTTCACACCAAGCTGTTTACCTATTGCAGATTCAGACTTCCCAGCCTGGTGCAGGTCTATAATTTTGTTTTGGTTGTCCTTTGACAGCTCTCTAGTTTTGGCCATGGTGGAGTTTAGAGTGTTACTGTTTGAGGTTGTGGACAGGTGTCTTTTATACTGATAACGGGTTTAAACAGGTGCCATTAATGAAGGTAACGAGTGGAGGACAGAGGAGCCTCTTACAGAAGAAGTTACAGGTCTGTGAGAGCCAGAAATCTTGCTTGTTTGTAACTGACCAAATACTTATTTTCCACCATATTTTGCAAATAAATTCTTTAAAAATCAGACAATGTGATTTTCTGGATTTTTCTTTCTCATTTTGTCTCTCATAGTTGAGGTATATCTATGAGGAAAATTACCAGCCTCTCTCATCTTTTTGAGTGGGAGAACTTGCACTATTGGTGGCTGACTAAATACTTTTTTGCCCCACTGTATATATCGCTCTAACTGTAAACTTAAGCCTGTTGAAAGCTTTTTAAATGAGTTTTACAATAAGGGCAATAATTATTAAGGTATTATCAAACCAGACTGAAAACCACATGTGCATTATGAAACACAACTTATACATACTACATAACAGACTAAGTCAGATCATCTCTTTTGATTGCTGCATAGTTTTCCATTATTTAATAAATCCACCTGTAAAAGTTCAACTCATTCAGTAATTCCAAACTGCAACTTTTATAACATTAGCTTTAAATTTGAACTCAATCAAAAACATTTTTCTCTTCACTAAGTTTTGCCCTTTAAGGCAAACTGCTTTCAAATAGAAAGACGTTTCAAATTTTGAATCGGCATTGAAAGCTTCTAAATGCTTCAGCTGTTTCATATCTTTTTCAATATAGTTTTTAACGATTTCAGAGTTTCTGCTACAAGATTACTAAAGCTATGGCTCAGCTGCATTTTCATAACTTTTGTGAAACTGTTATTACTAGCAAACTTTTAACACATTGACAGTATTGTCCTATTTTGCATTACACAACTTTTAAATGGTGTCTTAATGAGTTTTGAACTACATACATCAGAAGTAATGAATAAGAATAAAACTTAAAGGCTGGTTGAAACAAGCTGTCATCCCTGAAAGTAGAGAGGGAATGAATTAGAGCTTTAACTCAGATACAACACAAGGTGGCAGTCTTCACCACAGTATATAAATGATATTGTTGCCTAAGAGCAGCAATACACAACTGTAGATGGTTTTTATTTTCTTAATATTTAGGAGTGCCAATAATATTCTCTATAAAACCATAAGAAAACAGATTTTCTCATGCAAAATTACATTCTGCAGACTTCTTCACATCTTCAGATCCAGGCAAAGAAGTGCGTCAAATGAAAGCAGGATGACTTTTTAAAGAGTTATTAAAAGGTTTATTACAACAACTTATTAGTTAACTTTTTTTTTTTTTTTTTTTTACAGAACTTTCACATTACAATTACACTGTCAACACAGTACCACACCCCTTAGTAACCATTAAGTCTGAGGGGAAAAACAAAAGAAAAAAAATCACATAAGCCTTTACAAGTTGTAATAACTTGTTTGATGTTTTCTTAATTGAGACATAAATAAACTGCAAAATTCTCGCAGAGAATCGTTATTTCATGCAGATAAGCACATAACAGTAAAACCTTAAAAATCACATTTTAAGAAAACAATGTCTTAACCTGTTTGTTTTTTCTTCAACTACACAGTAGTAAGCCAGTACAGACTAAAAGGGAAAAGGCAAACTGACTTTTTAAGTTGAAATTTGTTTTTTGTACTTATCTCAATTATCACAATTCTTTAGGCACATTAGCTGTACTGTAACTAACATAGCTAATGTGATTTCAATCCACATCTAAATGATATTGATTTTGCATAAGCCAATTGAATCAAAAATAGATGCATCTCAAAGTGAGTCATTTTTACCAGGTAATGGAGCTACTAAAGCTGTACAATCCTATAAAATGAAATATCAAGACAGATCACATATGATGTATTACTGATCTAATTTCTTTTAGTGTTTCCTAGAAAGGTTTTTGTTCATGGAAAGTTTAATGTTTTGCATTAGACACTTAAGCCCTAAAGAGTCACTTGCAAAGCAAACACAGCTAACAAAGCAGAGCAAACATGTTCATGGGGCCCTTTAAATCTGGGAGAACAATGATAAACCAAAGCTTAATCTGCATTAAAATGAATACGGAAATCATTTATGCAAAACACATTAATGGCACTGAATAAGGTCAACATCACCATGGTCTGAGGAATGAAAATAAAATGCACCTCAACCCTACAATCACTGCTTCAGGAACAATCAGACTACAGATGGAATGTAAATGAGAAAACACACAGATCTAAGCAGCTCACCTCCATCGGACTATTTTACATGCAGAGGTGAGCCCAAACATTCAGACTTGCACTACGGCCACTACAGCTGATCTCAGCCAAATTCAGCTATGCAATGTCTGTGTCAGCATTCAAAAATCTACTACTAAAAAAAGCTGCCGGTGCTCAACCAACTCAGAACGTAAACCCGTCATCTCTCAAATATGTGCAAAATGGTCAAACAAACAAACAAAAAAAACTTTATTATAACAAGAGTAATTATAAATGATTTAAAACAGAAGAACCTTAAAGCACTTTGGTAAACTTATTAATGGACTGCCTTCATGTAAAAAAACATATAGCAGGTAACGCCAAGGTTTTTCCCCAGGAAGCGTTTTTTTAAATGGGGCCATTGAGATGAAATTCACATTGTTAGTCAGTAAGAACCAAGATAATCAAATCAAAATAATTGACTTCATAAATTGGTGCAATGGTGCTGAATTATCATTAAGCTAAAAAATCTGTAAGTCAGAGAAAATCTATGAAAACTCATAGAAAGCCAGTATATCAGCTGGAATCTACTAGCAGTAAGACAGGAAAAGTCCATATTAGGAATATACTGTGTTAGCAGGTTCATATAAAAAAAACAAAAACACATTTTATTGTATAGAATTGATTAGAAAAAGCAAATATTTTGCTTATGACCTTTGCAACTTTACTGCTGCGAGACGTTGGAATCGAGGGCTGTGCAATAACCAGTGGGCAAACTCCCTCTTTGTTAAGAGGAAACTGCCTGTTTAAAAACTTTTTTATTTAAGGTGCCCTCTCAACCACCAACAAAGCGATTACAAGGAGCACCAATAGAGAGCTTAAGATAGATTTAAGCCTACCCAAAGAAAAGCGTTTAACAGGACTGCAAAGGTCTGTGTGTACATCGAAATGAAAGAAACATTTTCTGGAGCTCCTGTAAAATCCACAGCATTTCCTGAGGGCCAGGGTTGGAACTACTGAGCTAGAAGATGAACTCCCCATTCTTGGACAATAAATTAATATTTTAAATGAAAGGGGACATTTATTAGAAGATTTTGGATGGAAATCCAACAGAAGACATTGTTATTAACGAGACAATGCCTCAGAAGATACAATCAAGTTTGTATAGTAACCTGAACTGAAATCCAGCAGAAGATCCCTGGAAAGATCTGAAAAATCAAGATTTAAAGACAGATTGTGCAGCAAAACAAAAAAAAACCCAAAAAACAGTCAAAATCTCATTTCAGTCAGGTTGCTCTAACCTTCATTGTATCATTTTACTTCATTTTCCATAATTCATTAAGTAATGGGTTGAATTGTTGTTGATTTATAACCAACACCTGTAGTGTATTTCATCTCAACAACCCCTTTAGTATGTTTTAGAAAAACAGTCTCATTGGAATCTGTCTTTTTTTGGCACCGAATTTTAAACACTGAATTTTTTTAGACATTTAATTACTTAAACTAAATTTTATCTGGTAAAAATTCAGCTGCAAAAAATTCAGCCGCAAAAGTCATTCAGCCGGGAACAGCGGCTGAATGAGGATTTTTTTGTTAAGCAGATAGAATTACAAAACGTCAGTTAGCTACTAACAGACATCTATTAGTTTTTCCTCTTATCAGAATGGGAGAAACAACTGAGCCGATCACAGCTAGTACGGCACCCGTGAGCGCAGCCGCTGTGTCACGTGACCAAATGAGCTAATTTCATTGGCCAGAAGCTGCTCGACTCTATTGAATGTAGATTGATTTGGCTTGAGTTCACCAAAAGGTCAACACTTTTGCAGCTGATTTTGTTTCTGGTGAATTTCTACCAGATAACAATTGAGTGTAAGGAATTCAATGTCTAAAAAATTCAGTGTTTAAAATTCGGTGTTAAAAAAAATTCAGTGTTTAAAATTCGGTGTTAAAAAAAATGTAGTGTTTAAAATCCGTTGTTGAAAAAAATTCAGTGTTTAAAATTCGGTGTTAACAAAAAAGGTAGATTCCAATGAGACTTTTTTTCTTCCATACTTTAGAAATATAACTGAGAAATGTTTACGCGCTTTTTCCCCTGCTGTATAAGAGCAATAAATGATTCAAACAGCTATAAAAACAGTTAAGCCACAATTTTTTTTTTTACATGTCACACCTAAAGTGCCTTTCTTTAGTAAAGAGAAAACATTGCATTTTTAAAAGCATAGCCTATCAAGTACAAAATTTACCAAACATCAACAAAACAATCGAGAATAAATTAAAAACTGTTAGGTCCAGAGCTGAAGCTTTCTTTTGTGTGACAGTAAAAGCTCTGAGAGCCAATGGGACTCCAGCGCGGGACGCTAAGGTACAGTTTGAGACGATCAGCTAGCTGAAGGCTGGGACCTGGTGCCTGTCCTCCGCGGCTGGCTCTCCTCTGTGCTCTGCTGTGATGTGGCCGAAGTGGCGCTGGGAGGGGCGGAGACGGCCGCGGTCGTCGAGGAGGAGGAGCTGACTCCGTTGGAGGTGCTGATGGAGCTGTGCTGAATGGCCTCGTTCTGCGGGCTGCTGGGGACTGACATCTCCTCACAGCTTTCATCTTTATCAGAGACTGTACAGGCATCAAGAAAAAGATGAAAAAAAGTTCAGTCAGGATGCCCAACACTCCTAAACTGCTATTTATAGAAATCATATTCTAGCAGATAAAATCCAAAAGGCTTGGGAAAACTTTGAGGCAGGAGCCTTAATCACATGCAAAACAGCTATCTGCATGTGGAGCATGCAAAGCATTTCATTAATCCCCATAATGCTACTTTTGCACCCCTTTCCTTTAATTAACGCTCCAATGTCAATTTAAACCTACATCATAAGGGTGCATTACATTCTGGGGCATGTGGCAGTGTTTCCCATCCCTAACTGCATTCTCATTTGTTTCTTGTTACCTTGCCAACTACTGCAGCGACAGATGATTACAGCACCTGATTTTAATGATGCTCACACTGGAGAGTAGGAAAGACTTGGAGTCGAAATGCCACCAGCTGTTAGGCAGTTGCCTTGAATTAATTGGATCCTGATGGAAAAAAAAGAGACTCCACTCTCATGCTCTGTTTCATACACGAATAAGGAGCAGAGTGATAATTAATACGGCTAATGATATGAAGTCACTTGTTATGGCTCTCTGTAATTAATGACTGAGTCTTTGAGAATTTAAAAAGATTCCCACTAAAGTGGAGGCTTCATTTGGCCTTAAATGTTTTTTGTTTTTTTTCCTTGATTCAGTTTCAGAAGGTTAAATCCAGAATAAATTAGACTGGTGAGTTTGTTTCTTGTTCAAGTGAACATCATCACTTCTAACAACGCTAAGTGGTGGCAAGTAGATCTATCATAATATTCTATGTTTCTGCTTCCAGGAGCAGCTTTTCTTTTTTTATTATACTGTTTCTGAAGCAGACCGTTGCTATAAACAGATGGACGGCTCGCCATGCCAGGTGAAACCATGTCCTGGCTTGTTTGTGGGCAGTCTGGGCTTTTCCCCTCCACCTGCCATGGCCACGCCTGGGCAGGATGATGAAGGGTATTACAGGATCTGGAGGGCAGAGCAGCCTTATGGGATTTGTAACATAGAGCTTGATGAGGTCTTTAGTGGATTGGTCAGAGTTTAATATAAAGGCTTTACTAATTAGCAAAATAGATTATTTCAGTGATTTCCAACAAGGCGGTCCTTGTGATTTTGGGTACAGTACCTTGTAACAAAACGCATTGAGCTCTTTCAGATTTTGTCATTGTTCAATGGGATTTGGATCTGTACTTTGACTTGGCCATTATCACACACCATTTGATCTAAACTTTTCCAATCTAGCTCTGCAGTATGGCTCGTGTCTCCAAGTCTCCAGTCTCTTCCAGCCCCTAATACATTTTCCTCCAGGATAGCCTTGTTTTTTACTCCGATCATCTAAACTAAATGTTAAATGTTTTACATTTATCATGGTTTGTTCAGACAGCTCAATGTTGAAAAACTCTAAATCATTCCACAGACTCTGCATCAAACTGACCATATCAATGCCTTTGTTTTGCACCAAGTTTTTTTCTCCCACAATGTTTATATTTGATCACTGTTGATCTTGTTCTCACACAATCAACTTCCACCCAAATATAATGTTTAAACAGGGTATGTTGTGTGGGAAAGTGGTGGAAAAACATGGCGGTAGAGAATTTCTCACCATCACTTCACCAGAGATAGGAAAAGGGAGAAATTAAGCATTTGTGGAGGAAGCTTGCAGCTCTGAACTGCACCTATTCTGTCTGCACAATCTAGAGCAGGGGTCACCAACGTGGTGCCTGCGGGCACCAAGGGGCCCTAAGGGGCCTGATGGGGTGCCCACAGCATCTTCTAAAAACAGCAAAACTGCTTAGATTGAAATTTGTATTTCATTCTGTTGCCCTTCTTTTTAATAATGTATAGAGCATTTTATCATTTTAGTCATACAGAGTTTTTAAGCATTTGTAGAGAGCCAAAATGAAATAATAAAAATTAGGCTGGGTTTTTTCGCCAAAGTCCTGAATCGAATTGATTAATTTCGATTTAATCTGTTTTTACAATAATGAAAGTGGTTCAACTGTGTTTCAAAACACTCATGTATTTTAATTTGTCCTGTCACATTAAACACAAAGTGCAAACTTGTAAATCAGACAGTTTAAACTTGAGATGTGAACAAAACTGACTCATAAGCGCAAACTTGTTTGTGAAAAGTGAAAAAGTGAAGCCTCAATCAAGCAAGCGGACATGACACAGCGGGGTCACAGCAGACATGCATGAGCTGCATTATCTTCGATGCACAAACCATATTTGCAGCGTTGTCTGCATCAACTACAGGGTGTTTGCTGGTCAGTCCCCGTTTGTTAATGTCTTCAGTCAACCTATTTGCTACATTTGCAGCTGTCTGGCTTGAAGTAATCTTGAATGCATCTTTCCTGCTCATTAGAATGTGAACGTCACGCGGGTCACTATAAAACTAATCGATCTCAATACCTAGACATCGATTTTGCAAAAATGTAAAGGAATCGATTCAAAATCTATTTTTTTACCCAGCCCTAATAAAAATATGTCATTATGTATGAAGTTAGGGTGAATGCTGATGCTCTCTCCTTCCACAAAGGTGGTGCTTGGGGATCGTCAATATATATCCAACCTAGGAACGCAAGTTATCTATTGCTGAATTGATCTTAAGCTGATTGATTTTATCAACCGATTAATGATCACTAATAATGATCACAACAATAGAAAAGCGGCCATTTCTTGAAAATCGTAGTTTTGTCTTTTATCAAGAGGATCTTTCTTACACATTGATTTTATAAGAAATAACAAATAATGTTTACAGTATCTAACAAAACAGGAAGCTATTAGGTTACTGAATTAAATAAAAGATGAATTAAAGTATGTGAAACACTTATGACTTCCAATGAACAGAGATGTAGAAGACAGAGTGTGTTGCCTTGACATGTGGGGTATTTGCCTCTTTGTTTCAGTGAAACGGGCGGTGATGTAGCTCTCAGTTTTTAGTGTAATGTATTTTTCAAAGTATAAGTCAAATGTTTTTACATGTTTTGGCCGGGGGTGCGACCTATACGGCAGAGTGACTTATAAAAATATACAGAATATTCTCGATTAATTTCCTGCAATATAACAATTTTACATGACAGAGTCACTCTATGTTTTAATATGGCTGCCGGAATTGCAACGCATCATCGGCGCAACAGCCTCTTAAGTGACCAGTAATTAAACATGGCTGAAAACTTAACGGATACGGCCTGAAAAAGCGCCACCAAGAAATGTGCTCTTTGCGTGTTGTTCTCTTTTATGTTTAAGATTTTTGGCACCCTGAGTGACACGGTTCTTACTAGTAATGAGATCTGTTGCAGAATCAAAGACATGTATTCATTCAAATAATCTAAACAGAAGATGGTGCCATTTCTTCTTTTCACCATCACATTATTATCTTGGTTTTTCATGTTAATTTAGCACAACTGTAACGTCCCTGCTGCTCAATGTTCACTGTGATTAATTTATAGTTTACTTTTCTTTATATTGGATATATTGGCTTGTTCAACTTATAGTCTAGAGCGATTTATAGTGTGGAAAATACGGCAATCAGTGCTGAGACTCTGTGCTGTTAGCAGCACTAACAGTGTTTTCATATTAGTGTTTCTGGTTGCTCTCCGATGTTAAAACTCGACTCCATGAAGAGGTGTCTGAACACACAAAACCTTCCCTATCATCAGTACTTGTTTCTAAAATGTCTTCTCTATCATGCTGAAAATTATTTGTGTAACAACGTAGTCTTTTCTATCCTTAATCCTTGACAACCAAGCATGACAGAGAAGTTACGCTGCCCCACCACGCAGCACAGCTAAATGGGGGATATTTACGTATTAAATTAAGCAGTTTATGGAGTGTTTATATTTACAAACTAGGGGTGGAACGGATCACAAAATCCACGGTTCGGTTTGGTTCGGTAGATGTTGATTGTTACACCGAAATCCCATAAAAATTAATAGAAAAAATACAAAAAAATTAATGAATTGTAATTATTTTGAATGATCTGCGGAAACCCTGGATCATTTCCGCATGTTTTGCTGCTTTGAATTTAATCATCTCGCGCATGCCCTCTACGATCTCCAAGGAACTCCACAGTGGAGGCTGTAGGCTTTGCTTTGTGCAGGTGGTCTGGAGGGCAGCAGGAGACCGCGGCAGACCAAGCCAGATGAAAGTGCGCATTCAGCTCGGCAAAGAACTCATGCTCTTCCTCAACACTGAAGTCCTTAGACATTTTTCTTTCGTTGTTTCTTTCTTTGCACAGGTAAACAGCACATTTCTTCTTCTACGCTTGCATTATTGGCAGAGCAGACGCTGAATACATTGGACGAGCAGTATGGAGGAATATTGACACGTTTTTTGTGGACTTTTATGGACCTTTCTGCCTCGGGCACCATAGACTAGAGATGTCCCGATCCAGGTTTTTGCACTTCCGATCCGATACCGATATTGTTTTTGGACTTCCGATCCGATACCGATACTGGCCGATACCAGCCTATCCGAGCATGTATTTACGTTTAAGTTAAAGTATTTAGCCTTAGTTGTAAGACTCATGTTGAAAAGGGTTTTAGTACTCTTGATAACATCTAGCCAGCTGAATTAGGTGAGATTGGATAAAACACAATGCTTGGTAACAACAAACTTACCTGTTTATTAAGAGATAAACACAAACTGGACAAAATTATAAATAGCAATCTGAAATTGCACAGTGAGCAGTAAAGCCGTAAACAGTTAAAGGTGCAAGTATTACTGTAAGTTTTAATAAAAATGCAAAACAGGGAAACACTGGCGCAAAATAGTGGAATGGATCGTTTCAATCGGAGAAACTGGAAAATACGGACCGGATTTTTAAAAAAAAAACTGGATCGGCAGTCTGGATCGGCATTTTACATGCTTTGCCGATACGCATTTTTTTGCCAATATCGGTGTCCCGATCCGATCAACGTATCAGATCGGGACAAGCCTACCATAGACCCCATTATTTGAATGTCAGCAGACAGCAAGAAGCCTCCCAGATCTCCAGATGCATTTGAGATATCAAAAAAGTACTCCAGAGTGTTGTTCAGCATGGGGGTGAGTAGAAAATGAAGGCTAATCATGTTTTGGGTGTACTATTCCTTTAAGAATGAGTGGCAGCTCCCTCTAGTGGATGGCTGTAACATTACATTAAGTGGAGGTTATCAATTAATTAGATGAAACAACTTTTTATTTGATGAAAAATTTATGAACAATTAATTGTTAATCAAAATCCTTGATTACATCCCCAGTCTAAAACAAAATTTTTTGATGAACTAAAGAAAAAAACATAACTTCCATGTCTCGTGATCTTTAAGACAAAAAAGATAAGGAACACTACGTCCAACTTTAACGCAATTTTCCTTTATGATTTTTTTATATTCAAAATTAAACTTTTTTTTCCCTTTTTAGGTCATATGACTGAGTAACAAAACTAATGTCAAAAAATTATACTAGACTAAACAGATGATGCACTTTTTTTAATCCAATGCAATGCATGTTCTATTTTTACGAACTTCTCTAATGAAGGATTTATTTTTTATTTCCCGTTATAAAAATCATAAACTCAAAAGGCACTCAGAGAGCCCAGACCTCCACTAAGTGGCTCATTTCCCCAGACATATTGTGACTTCCACCTTAAGTTAATAAGCGTATTCAAGGAATCTTTCAGAAAATTCCTGGATCCAGACAGTGATCCAGATCATCACCAAAATGTAATGGATTCTTTCTTTGGACTAAGGTGCACCTCGGTTTATTAAAGTTTCAAAACTTTTCAAGTTATCCTGTACACAGACAAACACAACCACACACTCAAACTTTCCTAAAAAATAACCTCCTTGGCAGAGGAAAAATGAACTGAATATGGGCAAAAGGAGTGAGCCTCATCCTTCTCTTCTCTTATGACTTGACATTACCTTAAAGGAATAGTACACCCAAAAAATGATTAGCCTTCATTTTCTACTCACCCCCATGCTGAACAACACTCTGGAGTACTTTTTTGATATCTCAAATGCATCTGGAGATCTGGGAGGCTTCTTGCTGTCTGCTGACATTCAAATAATGGAGGACTATGGTGCCCGAGGCAGAAAGGTCCATAAAAGTCCACAAAAAACGTGTCAATATTCCTCCATACTGCTCGTCCAATGTATTCCAAGTGTCCTGAGTGGGTAGCATCCAGAATTTACTCGAAACGAAGTCATTTAGAATGTTTTTAGAGCATAGTAGTGTATAGGATTTCCTGAAAGCGCGTTCACGACGCTACGGAAACCGCGGCAGACCAAGCCAGATGAAAGTGCGCATTCAGCTCGGCCGAGAACTCATGCTCTTCCTCAACACTGAAGTCCTCAGACATTTTTCTTTCGTTTTTTTCTTTCTTTGCACAGCTAAACAGCACATTTCTTCTTCTACGCTTGCATTATTGGCAGAGCAGACGCTGAATGCGCACTTTCATCTGGTTTGGTCTGCCGGCTTCCGTAGCGTTGTGAACGCGCATGTGCGCGCTTTCAGGAAATCCTATACACTACTGTTTATGCTCTAAAAACATTCTAAATGACTTTGTTTCGAGTAAATTCTGGACGCTACCCACTCAGGACACTTGGAATACATTGGACGAGCAGTATGGAGGAATATTGACACGTTTTTTGTGGACTTTTATGGACCTTTCTGCCTCGGGCACCATAGACCTCCATTATTTGAATGTCAGCAGACAGCAAGAAGCCTCCCAGATCTCCAGATGCATTAGAGATATTAAAAAATACTCCAGAGTGTTGTTCAGCATGGGGGTGAGTAGAAAATGAAGGCTAATCATGTTTTAGGTGTACTATTCCTTTAATATCACTGGTTCACAAGTCCAAGTCTTAGGAGAGACAGTCCCAAGGTGGACAACAGCACCTGACCAGCGACTGAATTTCTCCAAATAAGGTCTCAATATTAGGGAAAATCTGATGGAGTGCCCACAGAGGGCACTGAACACAAAGACAGTATTTCAACAAATATTTACAGTTTACAAGAATCGTCATCTAAACAATCGCTTTCTTTTTGCCACTCATCCATAATGGTTCATGAAGTCAAAGACTTTTTATTGACTTTAAAGTAGATTTTTCCATTCTGGTAGCTCCTCCAAAGTTACCACAGGCCTCTATATAAACTAGATTTTTAGTTTATGCCAGTATTCAATCTAACTTGGCAACCATATTACCTATTAGCTTGTTGATTCCTCCGAACAGGAGGAAAAAGTACTTCTATGTGTCATCTTCTACAAGTACCCACAGAGACACGACCGATCTGAGAGAGAAAAGATGACCATATTCTTTTGAGGATCCCCTATAAACAATATTTACACCAAACCAAATGAGCCTTCAACAGCGGACCACAAGCTTTCAATCCCATCATGCACAAAAAGTGTGTCTGTTGGATGGTAGGCAATAAGGAATGCATAATGAACAGGGCTGCTTGGCAGACACTCTACAGTTAAAAAAAATATATTGCAGTCTTGACAAGCCTGCTACTTTAATGGACTCATTTTAATGGCAATCACTGTCAATACAAGTCAGACAATGTGTTTAGGGCGACAGTGTACAGAAGACGTGTTGCATTCTTTTCCAAAGAGGCTCATCTGTGAGGGAAGGTGAGTTATGACCCCAAACTCTAAATGACAGAGGCCCTATCTGAGGAGAACGAAGAAAAATAGGTGAAATGATTCTAAATCAGACCATGTTATAATGCTCAGCAGAGCGAGCTGGCAACAGGAAATTTAAATGGAGAGCCTCAGAAACAGGGCAACCCTTTAAGAGTTTATAAAGATGATGACTGTAAACTGAGAACATTAGGGATTAAACAAAAAAGTTTAATTACGACGTGCAGGTGCGACAAAACCAAAGACACCCTACTTGAAGAGCAGACATTTAACGTCATCTCACAAATGTTTATCAAGGTACCAGATGATGAAGAACATCACATGCCAGCTGTGGCCTCTGAAAGGATGGGAACAGCAGCACTACATGAAAAGATCTGAAGTTCTGGAAAGTTTTACAGAGAATGAAGAAGGATAGATCCGAGCATATCAATATTTTCTTCTGCTGTGTCCTTAGCTGGAGCTCATTTTAGACAAGTTTCACATGCAGCCTCAGGCTGAGAATAATGGAACATTACTCACTGTGATAGCCAGACTTCTTCTGCATGACGGTTACAGGGCAATCTTTATGAGCCAGAAGAAGCTGCTTCAGCTGAGCCACTTCGTTTCTCAGCAGGGTGACTTCATTCTTGAGCAAAGAAGAGACAAACAATGACAATCACAAAACTGGTCTCTATTCACATAAGGGCATTGCACACCATGATCAGATTTAGACAATCTCCTTTTCAAACATTTATTCAAAGTATCCACAATTCTTAGGTTATAATAATTGAAAACAGAAATATGTAACGGATTTAAATGTAGCTTATGAGCAGGGAAATTTTACTGTACACCAACACGTTGTGGTAATAGGGTTGGAAAATGTTGCTACTATAGATCTATTGTTATTATTATTATTATTACTAGGGCTTCAACTAATGATTGTTATCTTGATTTACTGTATATATATTGTTTATTCTTAATGCACCTTTTTCCTCCTTGTTTGCACCTTCTTCTTTAATTACTATGCCAATATGTGACCAGTGAATTTCTCCGCTGTGAGATCAATAAAGCTCATCTAATCTAATCTTTTTCAAATCGATTGATAGTTTTTCGATTGATCGATTAATAATCGGATAACCAAAGGATCCTTAGAGAACCTTAAAGAAGATTTTTTTACTAAATTAAACCAGGTGAAACTAAAACCTTTTCACTTGAGGAGTTCTGGATAGAGTATATTGACAAACGAATTTTTTTTTTTTATCTTAAATGCAAAACTGTTTATGTTTTTACAATCTTGATATAATTTCTGCTCCAAATGGGATGCTCTGTCAGCTAAAGGCATGTTTTACAGTCTTAGACTTATTCATGTTTTACAGTCTCTATACTCCAGTAAACGATTAAACGATTACTACATAAGTTGACAATTATTTCAAAAATTGATAATTCACAATTAATCTGATTCATTGTTTCAGTCCTAATAATCATTATATTATCTTTACTGAACCGATATCTAAGGGAAATTAAATGTAAATTAATTATGCAGAATGACGTGAATCAGCTTTTTAGGTCTAGCTTGACTGAACCAAAAGACAGGCAGAAATTTGGTTTTCACATGGCTACAGTCAGCTAGATGACAATGTTTTCTCTAACCTGACTGTGTAGCGCTCAGGTTTAGTTCCACGCGTCACTAAACTTGGGACTTCTTTCATCGCATCCGTCAAGGAAAAGGGGGGACATGAAGCAGAACCTTTCGAGCTGATTGGTTGAAGTGACACCTGGCGCCCGCCTACCACTATTTGGTGTTAACCAGTCACAGTGACAAATGAAAATGTCAGCAGACGCCATGAGAAACCAGAAAGATAAAATCCTGAATTCTGACAAAACAGACGTTATAAAAGCAGCTACGTGTACGTCTATCCTCCTGCGCTGCCATGTTTTTTATGGTTAGATGTGAGCTCAGCAGCTCTTGCTTTCATCTTAACTTTATGTCCCGCCTTGCCATAATAACTATAATAGTGCGGTATTATTGGCAGACACGTTTTAAGTTGTCTTGAATGGCTGAGTGGTAGAAATTGGATTCTTGTGTGTTTGTGAACTCACAAATACAATAAGAATTCATCTCACAGGTAACAATACGTTTTCTCTCAACAATGCAGGGAAAAAAAAGCATTTACACAAATATACCTTATATCTGGTTTTGTGTCTTCCCTTAGGAATAGCCACATATTTTTAAAGCTAATGAGGAAATCAGAGAATTACAAATTCAAGGCCCCATTTGTTCTTTAGTACGATGCATTATTCCTGGGAACTTGCATTTCCTCCCCTGAGGAACGAAAAACACAAAAACGGGAAACAATATAATAAATTAATAGCGGATAAAGTATAAAACACTGCTTGCTGCACAATAATTATGAGCCTTCACCAACTACCAACCAGCACATTTGTCAGAGATGAGCTGTTAGGTTTGTCAGTACAAATTCGTAGAGGCTGCGGAGATTTACACTCCTGTGTCGTTATAGCTCCCAAGAGAGCTGAGGATTTCTGCATGTCGTAAAAGAGAGCCACATTACGCTGAAGGTGACTTTAACTGGATTTAGAGCGGCCAGGGGCCCACGCAACAACCAGTGGCAGATTTAAGCTCCTTCTCCTCTCCTTTAAAGGACTACGAGCAGCTTAATCTATTAGTCTAAAAGCAGCCAATTTATCTGATTCCATCTGTTTGGTTTTGCTGTTGTTGGCAGGACTTAGCCATTGTAAGCCAGATTAAAAACACAGCTGGAAGAAACATATGTGTCACATAGCCAGCACAATATTCCTGGTGCTTCCAGCATGTCTGCTGCCATTTAAAGCTAATATAAACACAGACTGCTCTTTTTTAATACTCCTTCCAATTTATTCAGAGATAAACTTTAGGCTTAAAACGTGGTATTAGGAACTTGACAATAGATCAGCCGCTTAATCTACATAAACACATTTAACTGCACCATAGCTACAAGTTAAAGTAACCTAAACCGGACAACTTGTTTCTAACTTAATTGAAAGTGAGCAAATGGGCTTTGTGCGATGCTGAGAGCTCTGTGAGCTGTCTGCTCTGACACCTCATTAAAAAGCCAGTTAAGGATGATGTTAAAATAATTGTGCATCATTAGAGGCAGTTTTGCTGATCAGCTGGGCCATGTCAGCATGTTTTTTTTTTTACTAAAACTGCTCTGCTGATTAATGCTTCGATTGAAAGTGGCCTTATATTTTCTACCACATGTTGTTTCTGTGCTGTGGTTCCATTTCTGTTAATAACTCCTCTCACATAGCAATGCCTTGCTTTTAATCTTCCCATATTCAAACAAAACTGTAGATAATGCAGCCATGAAAATCTGTCATAAATTCATTTTTATCTGCATTTTATCCTGACGCCCGTTTATTGTACGCTACTGGGTATTTCCCTCCTCCTTCCTCCTCTACATCTTGATTTTATCAAAAAAAAAAAAAAAGACGGTAAGCAAATAAACACCACATCTCATTTAATTGTCTGGAACACCGATGTGCCGCACCCCCGGCTCACACTTATCAACAGAGACAGCAGATAAATGAACTGTTTCGAACTTGTCAGCATCAGATCCTAATTGCTTCCTGCGAAATGAAGGTTCAAAAAGACACCTTTTCCCTGGGAGATTTTTGAGGCCATTCAGTAAACTGCAGAGACAGAAGCGGCGACACGCTTGTGTGCGGCTGACATCTGGAGGATACATCTTTATTGACAGGAACGTATCGACGTAAAGGGCTCACACTCTGCTGCTGTCAAACGGCAGCTCGGCTTAATCGGCTTTAATGACTTCATCACAATAGAAGAACAAAACTGGGTGCAACATTACTTGATGATAAAAGCATGCATTTTTACGCACCTTGACGCCAAAGATATAAACTAATTTTATAAACAAACAGGTTGGAGCCTGCAAAAGGTGGGTGGGATTACCTGTAGTTGTGTGTTCATGGAGCCGAGGTCCTCGGCCTTCTTTTCCAGAGACTGGACCCACACTTTCCTCTTTTGCCGACAGCGAGAAGCTGCAGCCCTGTTACGTTCCAGGAACTTCCGCCTCTTCTCGTCAGGGTCTTCGCTTGTGGTTCTGCGCCGTCTACCCCCTGTGGTTGGAGGGTTTGGCGGAGAAGGAGCAGGAGAAGCCTAAAGGAGAAAAATAAAATAAAATAGAAGAACCATACTGTTAAAGGGAGAACTTGAGCACAAAGCTTCATTCTTTATCTTTCAGATAACTGAATGCCAAAAATGTATCAAAGCGATAGTAACATTTGCCCTCTCAAGCTCTAATAATGCTCTATTTCATATAATAACTATCTAGATTTGAACATGTTGACATAAAAACTTACGGGTGTCTCTGTGGTGGAGGTGGCCGGCTGCTGGAGGGAATGTGTGGAGGCTTCCTCGCTTGTAGGCAGTTGAGGAGCTGGGGATAAGATTGCAGCCGGTGCTGGGGTTGGGGTTGGAGCCGGGGAAGCGGGATTAACAGTGTGGGTTACAGCACTGCTCTGGACCTCGCCGCCGTCTCCATTGGTTACCTGAGGAAGCTGCTGACTTAATGTTGCTTTCAGCGTCTGAAAAACACCAAGACAGACACCGATGTCGAAGCGGCTTTAAACATGATGAAAACGACGCGGTTCCCAATCATTAATACACAGCTCAGCCCAAAATTACTCACATTCTTAGCAGATTTTCGTTTTTTTTTTTTTTTTCTTACAGTAAGTACATTTATGATAGGAATTGAACAAGCAACTATCAAGGATTAGCTAATATATATAAGAAGAAAAAATTTTGAAATTTCCATTTCCCCTTGTTTACATTCAATATAAAATTCTATGTTAGAAATGAAATAATTCCTAACCACCTTTTTTAAGCGTTAATACGGCCACTAAAACCTCTGATATTAATGCTGATCAGCTTTTTGCATTGCTTCAGTAGGCAGTCACTTAACCAGTTATCTTGGATGATGGGTTCACAGTGTTTAATGCTGGAAGGCCTTCTCCCTATCAACCTAATCTGTAGCCTTTTGGCTCATTTTAATAAATCCATATTGCTTCCAGTCAAGAGAAACATGCTGGTTCCCTTAAACAATTAATTTAAATCCAAATCAGCCAGCATTATAAACGATTCTGAGCTTCGCTGCAGGAATATTAACTCTAAACCTTATTTCAATAATGACAATACTGAAACCCTAGATAAAAAAAATGTTTTCAGTTGTTGGTTTCCTCTGACTTAAAGAGGCACCTTAAATATCATTACATTCTGACGTTGCAAACTCTTTACAAGTGCATGTTTACTGCCATGCTGCTGCACTGGTTTCAGGTTGTTTGCATGCTCCCACAGCTCTAACAGTATTGCAAAGGCTGGCCTTAGAAATATGTGGCATTAAAGCCTTGCTTCAAGCCATATAAAGCTGTGTTTAATCTCAAAACACACCAGTTTCCTCCCCTCTTGGTGTCGAATGTAAATCAAAAGAGTGTTTTAAGTCTTTGAATATGGTCAAGTCAAAGGGAGTAGTCATTTCTATTCAATTACAAATTTCAACATTACTTTGGATTAATTATGGGCATAGTGTCACACCATGTTTATACTAAATTAGAAACTGAAAAATTGAAGAGAAAAAAAAAATAAAAGAATTCAGTCATATTTAGTTTGTAAGGAATAATCAGCCATAATGATTCAATAATTTCCTTAATGCAAGATTTGTTCCATCATTAAAGATTGTGTTTTTCTAAATGTTTAGTGTGATCCCTTGATCTGCAATAAAAATGTATTGATTAGAGGGCTTAATAATTATCTATAACTCGGTGGGAGAAACTGCATAAGGTACTCCAAATACAAAGGATTTTTAAACTAATATAGCTACTAGTTTTTATGTCATATGCTGCCTTCGAGTACAGCAATATACTATATTTATAAGGGATAATGCATTTTGATGAACATAACGTTAAAATGCCAGAATTAGCTAAAAGGCTACTTTTCATCTGTAGGACAGGCTGTAACAGAAAGCTGCGCTGGAAGCGTTGAAATAAAAACCATAAAATCTAAACAAATGAGTCGAACATAAGTCATTACTTTGATGTAGGTTTATCACTTGCTGCAGACAAAGGACAGGCTTAAGTCCTGACTTTACTATGGAGAACATTTACTAGATGCTTTAAAATATCCAATTTTACAGCATCTTTGATTAAATTTATGTATTCGGATTTAATATTCAATTTTTCTTAGATGTTGAGGAAAAGAAAAGTGACATTTGGGCTATTGTCTTTATAACTCTACTGATTCATGTTACTGCTGCTAAGAGAGCCTGCAAGCTAATTAATCATGTGTATAGTATAGTGCATTGAATTACTTCACACCCTGTCACAGCATTTAGCCTCCACTTTTAAACAAAAACACAAATCTTCATTGTTGTTTGTAAGCTGAGGTTATAATCACCAAAAGACCTGTTAAAGACCTCGTGTTTCTCTTCACCATGACTTTTCAGCCCTTCTTCAAAGTTTAATCTTTTATATAAAGTTCTAGCATACATGATGTGACTTAAACAAAGGGATATTTAGTGAAATCTGCTAATGACTTAGTAAAAACTATCCGTTTTGAAAAACTCTTCCTGTGCAGACAGTGGTGTGAAATTCACGGGTCAATTTTCTTCAGCGCTGAACCTTTAGGAAAGAAGGTGAAAGTGAATGAGGCTCTCCAAGCAATAACAAAGTGAGCGAGAATACATTTACATGGCAAAACAGAGCAGCGCATTATTCTAACAGCTACCTTTGCCAGACCAATCTATCTACCAAATTAGTTTATCGTGTAATACCCTTCCAGAAGCTCTTCTGGCAGAAACAAGATATTATTCTCCTGGAATGGTCTGCAGAATGAGGGAAAAGCTAGTCAGATCCATATTTCATCTCTGCCATGGAAACCTCATCAGTGTAATAACCCTCCATCTCATGGGTTTTATTCAACCATCTGCTACTATATTACTTATCTTTATTTTGCAACTAATTAACAGCATAATCTTCTAAATTCAGCAAGTTAATTATCATTATTGTGGTCTTTGCAGCATCATCAGTCCTTGTAAAGCACCGTCTACGCCGGCTCCCCTCCTCACGAGAGCTGTGCGGGGGGGTTGGGAGGCGGGCAGGTTGAGCTGGGGGTCTGTTTTCTTGATGCAGGCTCATTAGGTGTTTGCTGATGAGCCGAGTGTGGTGGGGGGGCGCTGGCAGTGAGGAGGAGGGGGGTGGGATGCAGGTCAGGCAGGATTCTGCTGAACAAAAGGTTCCATGCAGGGTGAGGCTGACTTAATGTGCCTCGCTGAGCGTTTGCCAGGATGCCCCCAGCTGGCGTTCAGCCATTGCCACCCCCCACCCTTGAGTCAGGTTGGGCCCGCTGACGGTGTGCTGCGCAAAAAAAAAACACGTCTCTGCGTTTGTCATCTCTGCAACGCATAATCTTGAATAACTCCCCAGCAGTCGGGATCAGTTCTTCCTATTCAATACGTACACCTTTTCACGGTTTAGCTGATCATTTCTGCACGCTGTGAACACTTACACCATGTTTTACAGGTTCTGGGATTCATGCTTCATCACACTGCCACTGATCTCCCACCCACACATTTAATACCAGTGGGCTTTAACGATCACTTCTATTATATAGACCATCACTACTGCTGTGAATGTGGAGTCATAGAGGGACATGCTTCTTTAGCACACTTTTATTCCCCAATGTGGATTTCTGAAATGTCAAACTGCCTCAGATATTCTCAGTTCTGAAATATAATTAATAAAACAGTCATTGACAGCAAAATAATTGAACCACCTCAAAGTTCTGAAACTCTCATGTGATAACATTTTGTCTATATGTGAATCTTTGTCTTATTATTGATGTTTTAAGAATTTAGGGTTATAAAAAAGTATCTATTCTTTAAAGCTGTACATGTACACAATATTAATTTGGCTGCTACTGATAATTAAGTCACGTTTTGTTGGCAATTTTATTTAGCTATTGTTAACTTTATATAGCTGGGTTATTCATTTGACACATTTATCCATCGTTCTGCTGAGGAAGAAAACTCCATGGTAAGATAAAAAAGGTATGTTTTTTCCAAGTTATTTTTGTATACCTTTAACTATTTGTGTTTTTTTTTTATTCCCATGGTATGGTAAATGGTATTAGCTAAAATAAAGGAACAGAAATAATCGAAGGAAATGGTGATTGGCAAAAAAACATTAGACATCAGGAAAGCTAGATCCTTTTAAATCAGTAGTGCTATTTCTTCCTAGTATTAACTATCTTTAACTTCTATATATATAATTTTCTACAGTAAACTTCTATTATTATTGTATATACAAAAAGGTTTTTGGAAAATGTTTTTATGCAAAGATGTCCTGTAAAATTATTTGTGGTACATTTAATTTTTTTCCAGTGTTTGTAAAGCTTTTACCAGCCTGTACACATTTAAGCCAATGTAGATTTTTCTAGATTTTTCCTTAGGAAATACAGCATTTAAATTAGTTACTAAATTGAGGAGTCTATTAATAAAGGAAGGCAACATAAAATTGCGCCATGATGCATGTACCTAAATATGTAGAGGGCATCCTTCATGGGTTGATGCTCTGAGTACAGGAAACATTTTTTTATTCATACACAAAAAGTCTTCGAAACAGATTCTGTTTATCATTGGAAATATCAGATCAGACACTGGAAAAATGTTCACAACTGAAGATACTGCTGCTCCCTTCTACTTGATTTGTATCATTTTTTCTAACTGCTTCTGCAACCCTGTCTCACCTCTTCAGTTTATAATCTTTAAAGATTTGGGAGAACCCACTGGGTTGGATCAGGGAAGTGATCAGTTGACTTAAACCCTAAAAAAACAAAATTATAATCTTTGTTGTTTGTAGTTAAGATTTTTTACTAAAGGATAAAACAATAAATCTTGTCTGATAAATAAATAAAGCTACTTTTGATTATCAGAATACAGAGACTCCAGATGGAGCATTAAATAAAGAAAGGGGTAATTAAAATCTTACAGGGGAAAAAGGCTAACTGTCTTATTATTCCCCTAATGCTAGAACCTCTCATTACCTTGGTTGTTATCATCTCTCTCAGATGGGAAATAACAGACACAGCATGGAAATTATATCTGATGTAAATGAGGTAATAAATACCAGCTTTGCTTCTGATTGGACGGGCTGAGGTTGTGGCGAGGCGGGTCCAGGGATTCCAGGGACGGCAGGCACTACGGTGACAGGTCTGACAAGCTGACAACAGAAACACAGACACAGATCAGGCCTGAGAAAATTAGTCTCCAGCAGGAATAAAGCTGGGTGCCGGCCCCCCCGCCCCGCGACATAAACACACACAGCTATGGCAGACTCTCAGCACCCCCTCTTCCATATCTCAGCCTCATTAGGTTGGATGGCCTGTTATTTTGCAAAGGCAGCGCCACATGGAGATGCAGCGTGCACGCTAATGAACCACTGCCTGCCTGAGTGAGAGCATATGGACAGGGAAGCTGAGAAAAGGATGGAGAGACATGAGTCAGAAGGTCAAATTCAGGCCTCTTCTCACAGCCGCCGACAGCGAGATGGAGAGTGACGTGGGGAGCACAGGGAGGAGGAGATGATGGAGGAAGAGGAAGCCCCAATGGTGGCGCATGTTCTCCATCTACCTCAGCTCTTCTTTACTTGCCAGAGGATCTACTTATCCCATCAGACAGGGGGAGACAGAGGTTTTCCCTGCTGTGCCACCATCAGAAGATAATCATCTGCTGCTCAGAGTTCCAGACAATCAGGACTAAACTGTACAATAACACAGACCTCCACATGAGGGATTTAAAAATCCACGGACCATACCTCCACCTATATTAGTGTCTGACTGTCAACATATTTGTACAACTTTACAATTGTGCTGGGAATCAAAAATGGTCTGTTTAATTCTACAAGGATAAATCTCTGTGAAATATCCTGGCCTTAAGCCTGCAGCAGCTTAGCCAAATCCCATTCCGTTCCAACAGTGACAGACTGTTTTACTTGTAAGCCCATTATTTCACTCAACCTGTCATTCTTAGAGGTGACCGCCAAATTACAGGGCAGAATCACCCACTGTTGTTCTGTACAAGAGCAGCAATAACATATGCAATATGCATACATTTGGTAAGTCTTCATCTAATTTTACAGATAAAATTGTTTCAGATTTACCCATGAGCAAAACCGTGCATCCATTTCAATTATAACATGGACGCATGCATCAGTTCCTTTAACCTGGATTTAACAAGAGAAGCTACTATAAAAGCTAAAATGGCTTCTCTATTGTGTAATGTTTAAAATCACTACTGCTGGTCACTGGTCAAGGTGAAAAAAATAACTTCTTTTTACCAACTGATTATTTTGTGGCTTTCTATAAAAACAATATATATATTTTTGCTAAATTTGAGGGTGATGGTTACCTTACTAGCAATATTGCAAGGTTTTTGAATTCACAAACTAACAAAAAGACAACTTGCTAGAAGCTAACAGATGCATTAGCATCAATAAAGAAATGTTTTGGACCAATGAAATGCAGTGTTGTGTAAAACATCAACCTGAAGCAAAACAAATATTGCTGCGCCAGTTAAACTGGAACACCCTCCATTTCCTTTTGAAATATGACCAAAAGGATACAATTTTTGCTTTTGTGGATGGGAAAGAGGTTTGTATGTTCCTCCGAACTAGATCCGGTAAGAGTTTGATTTATCAGTTAACTCCACCAGTTGTGAAACAGATCAAGAACGTTTCACGGAACAGCTTTTGCTGCGATTGGTTAAAAGCTTGACACAGATTCACCCAATCAGCTTGAAGAATCATACTGAATGTCCCTCCCTATTGCATAGTTCAATTTGAATTCTACACAGTACCAACCTGGCTTATGCTGGGAAAGGGAAAAGGTGCATTCACTGTTTGCAAGAAGATCAAACACAATTTATGCAGAATATTTTTGCCAGGAGACTCACGGGAATAGTAGTTGGAATATGTACACTTGAGCTTGTAATAGATGCAGGTATTGCAACAGGCATGGTCTGACCATTAGGCAACTGTAGGAGCACAGGGAAGGTGCCAGTCACTGGGCTAAAAGAGAGAAGAAACCACAATAAAGTAAAATATAACCAGTTAATACAGAAACAGAATGAATATCCTCAAGTGAAGGCTTCATTCTTTTTTTTTTTATTATTATGAGTGCATAGTTACTGTCAGCAGTCAGTATTAAACCTTCAGCAGAAAGCAATCAGAATATTTATTTAAAGAAAGAAAGTTGTTTTGATTGGTGCTAACAACTTTCTATAGTGGAACCAATTATAACTTTATATGCCTGTTGAATCTGCAGAAGTTAGAAATTTAAACTATAAACATTCTAGTTTTGCGATAAACTTATTTCTGCTAAATAAAACTGGTTAGTTGACAAGACAGAACATGTTCACAAAACTTAACTAACCATGGACACCTTAAAGCTGTAGTGGAGGATTTTCTTTTCCCGGTTGGATCATCAAAATAAGTGGTCCTGCAAATTGTCAATCTTTCTGTTGATATGTTTACGAAAGACTGTCCTACGTGCTCGTCTCAGTTAGCTATCTTTTTCTGCTCATGCACACTTTCAGTTTGAGAAGAAAAGAAAGGCCTCAGAAGAGGCAGATATATCCTGGAATGCTTTGCACAGAGAGTTCTCAGAGCAAAGCATTATGAGATTTGCTTTCACAGCGGCCCGCTGTTGCTACCCGACAGCGGCGACAATTAACAACGAGGAGGAGGAATTTACATTACCAATAAGGATAAATACCCCATTTACACTCCCCTAGAAAAAACATGCCGAGACCGTTCCGAGCTCAGTAACTGAGATAACTTATCGTGTGTAAATGGTTAGCAAAATGAACTGAAGCGAGCTAGACACAGCCAAACCGAGCTAACTGCAGACCGGTTCCAGAGGTGAGCTTGGCACGGTTTTTCCCTGGCTCGGTTCTCTGATAACAAGAGCGCATGAGCAGAATGCTTCATCTCCGTCTGGCTGCATATCCTGATTCACACTCATTCCAGTAGATGGCGGTAATGCCCCTCCGGAAGTTGCTTGCCAACCAACACAAAACAGAAAAAGAATAACAACTATAAACAACAATCGAAATCTTCTCCACGCAACCTTTTGATTTGCTTGATTCCCTCCTACATCGTCTTCTTCTTGTGTTTTATGACTTTTGGTGCATTACTGCCAAAAACTGCTTGATATTCTCCTTCAATACTGGCAGTAATACCGCAGATCGTAACTAGGAGACGAGGAACCGAGATAGCATGATGTGTAAAAGGTCGTCAGAACCAAGCTCGGCATGGATCGGTTTTTTAAGGGTAGTGTAAATCGGGTAATAAAGTCCACTATATAGTCCCCGCTCTGTATAGTGATTAAGGGATTTAGGAGCTTATACGTGCAATGTAAACAGCAACTTTTAAACAGAGCATGCACATGCCAATTTCCCCTCGTGCACGCTCTCACACGCGTTTAATACGCATTCCCTCTCGGGAGCGGGTACGGGGTTGAGGGAGGGTCTTTTAAAAAATTTGCGAGAATCCTCCTCTACACCTTTAAGGGATAGTTAGTGTTGCGGTTCTTAAAAAATGCATTAAGTAGTTAGAGGCATTTGCTTTTGGAATTGGTTTCCTTCAGCTCTCAGGTTTTAACTTCTAGCTCTTCCCTCACTATACATACTAGGCTGAACTTCTACTATGGGGCAAATACTGACTGCTGTTAACTCCACCCACTTAAAGAAAAAAAATTAAATAAAATCTGAACTTCTATATGATGACATATTTAGAGGACGACTGATGGTGAAATACAAAGCAAGTTCTGAAAATTAAAAACAATAAAAATATCACAGATCACAGAAGTACAAAAAAACCAAACAAACAAAAAAAAAAAGCAAAAAAGAAACTGACCGCATATGTTTTATCAGTGTTGCTCCACCATATACAGTGCTGTTTCCTTGTGGCAGATGCAGATAAATCAACTCAGAGGTAACGGTTCAGCATGAATATATATATATATGTTTTTTAGTTCAAATATCCTTTGTGATGGAATTGAATAAAAAAACTGAGTTTGTAAAGAAAAGTATTTATGTTCTAATACATGTAATGAATAAGAAATATTAATCCACCTTGTACTGGCAGCAAAAAAAACTCTCACCATGATACTGCCACCACTATACTATCAGTTTTAACGTTTCAAGACAGCCAAAGCTGACATAGGCAATCAGAAATAATGTGCTTAAAAAGGGGAAAGATTAAAGGCTGGCATATTCTTTTTCTTTACTCCCCATTAAATGGATAAAAAAACACTGTATATTTTATCTGAACAACACTGACTTTGTTCTAAAACAGTTGGAACTTAAATTTTTTGCAGCAAAAAAACCAAACAACCTTTTGTGCAAAGAAATAAAAAAAACAAGCACATGCCGCATAAAAAATAAAACAAAAACAAGCTCACCATGATAAACTGCACAACCGATTTCATAAAAACTAAGATGTTTTCAAAATGGACGCATTTCATTACTTACACTAGAGGCCTATTAGTGGAGGGGACTTGGGTAATAACAGAGCTAGATGTTGGCGATGGGAGAGCTGGCTGTATTACAACACTAGCCTCTGTGGTTGCTAGGAGTACATTGGGAACTTGAAGGGATGCAGGATGGACTATAGTGGATGTTGGCAGTGAGGCTGGCTGCAAAGTTAAGTCCTGAAAACACCATACAAGACCATAGCTGCAGGAATGCGTCATAGACACCAGATCAGTTAATTGTACAGCTCTAACACCTCGGAGTCAATCTTTTCAGGAGTAGAAGTAGTCTTTCTATGTGCAGTGGTCCTATTATCATTACATATACCCAAGAAATAAAAAAATAAAAAACTCAAGACAGGTTTCAAGCAAAACATTTTTAGTCATAATAATAAATTCACAAATTTTACAGCAGTTAATTAGATTAATCAGGAGAACATTACAAACAGCAAAAAACACCAAGATTGTTTTAAGCTTTACCTTATCATCACTTGTAGTGGATTCAGGATGAGGCAGGGGGCTGTCTCTATGTGCATCTATAACTGGAGGTTCCTCAATTTTGTTCCGTATAATGGGAGTAGCAAGAGGTGACAAATCAAGTGGTAACTAAAACACAGCGAAAAAAAAAAGAAAACAGAACAAAACTTATCAGACAGAGTTCCAAACAGACACAGAAGTAGGATCATGTCCAAGTAAGTTTAGAACCTTTTTGATGTCATCTTCAGTTGCTTTTTTAAAGTCATGATCAAAAGGACTTGCGAGTTCGTTAAAGAGCCCGACTTCCTCGCAGTTCTTCAAAAAGCGGGTGGGTGTAGGAGTTTGATCTGTAAAGCAACCTGACCTTAGGCTAAAAGAACTTGAATGCATTTAATTAGCTAAACTGAAACCGAAAGAGCACTCACCTGCAATGATAAGATTATCATTTCTTGCTGGGCCAAACTTCAGTGTCATCTCATGTTTGTGTTTGTGGACAGCCAAATGGTCTTCATTAGTGAATCTCTATAAAAATGCAAAATAATATACATAAAGAATTTATTTATAATCTGAACACACCAGCTTATATAAATAATTAACTATAGGAAATAAAATCTGCCTCCTTGGGTCATTTTTATTGAAACACTGAAACTGTTCTTTTTACTAAAAACGAGAACTTTATATGGTTCTGATTATGTAGTTTTATTATTTTATTTTTTTCTATCATTAACAAAGTGCAGCTCACTGACTCAAGATAACTTGAGACATCAGTAAACTCCAAACTAAGCTGAACATGCTCCTGCTTTCTTCCCACTTTAACTATATACAACCAAAATGCTTATTTTTCTATTTTAGTGGTCAACAGCTAAAAGAAGTACCAATCTGATACTACCGTTGAATGAATGAACCATTTACTTTGCCATGTGAATAAAGGCATCAGGCTTGAGATAAACATTCAGAGAAATCAAAGAAATAAGTGGAACGCTGTAATTATATTGCTAATAAAAAGAAATTAGATCAGACTGTTAGATTAATTTCATTCATCTGATATCTGATCTGAAGTTGATATCTGATTCAGGTACCGGAGTGCCACATCTCTAGCATTATCACCACCAACTGGTGAGAAATGCAACAGTTTCATGCAGTATTTCATTCTAGTAAATCTGTGATTCATACTGTGTTGTTGTATTTTTATAAAGTTGTTATGAACAAAGGAATATTTACAAATTTAGACACCTACACAAACATATTTATCTACAGGTATTGCAGCAACTGTCAATAAATACTACAGCAATTATTGGCATACCTGTATAAGGGTACACCGATTGGGTTCTGTAGGCAGCTGTTTTTTTGTTTTTTTTTCGTTTTTTGTTTTTAAGGCATTGGTGTTAAGTCTTAATAAGCCCACCAAATGTTTATTAGTTTGTATTTAATAAAGAATTGAAGATTCTTTTCTACTAGGGGTGGAACGGTTTATGAAAATCGTTCGGTTCATGCACTGCTCCTTTTTCTCATAGGCAAAGCGATTACACTCCAGAGCAGAAGGTGGCGGTACTGCGACCAAAGCCAACCACCAGTAGTAAACAAGAAGAAGAAGCGAAGCAGCGTAGCCGGGTGTAGCAGAAAAAAATCAATTTTTGTGGAGAATTGTGTGGGTATGGCGAGTGGGAAAGAACAGGAGTTGGAAGACGAGTTGGAAGACGCGCCAGCAGCACTTTATAGTTCTGCTGTATGGGACCACTTTTCATTTCGAGTGACCTACGATGACGGCGGAAAGAAAGTTGTGGATAAAAGTGCAACAGTGTGCAAGCATTGTGCAACACGTGTTGTACTATACAAGACATAGTAGATTTTCCTAACAATCAACATATACCGAACCGAACCGAAAACCGTGACCACGAAACCGTGAACCGAACCGAACCGTGGATTTTGTGAACCGTTCCACCCCTTTTTTTCTACCTTTTTAATTTATTATTAACCAGCTATGCACCACTTTGTGTTCCTTAATCAGCTTAAATCTTATTAAAATACACAAATTATTTTGTTTTATATTTGGAAAGGGAATGCAAATTAAATGTCTACTAGTGAAAAAGGTATGAGAGATATTAAAATATTTAAAATAGAGAAAAGTTACTTTAACAGAAGACCCTGCAAAAAAAAGTGTAACTCTATCCATGAGATGGGAGAAAAATTAATCAGATAAATTTCAACAGTCCAACTCATCGATTGACCATCCAAGTGATTCTTAAACAACAAAAAAAAAAAAAAAAAAAAGGGTAAAAGAAAATGTATTTTAGGGTATACTGTAGGTTTTTTTTCTCAAAGTTTGTAAGTTTTAAAACACAGAAACTTAACTAAGGCATTATCAAAAATCTGGTTGATGATTTGTTTAATGATGAATTACATTTTTTGATTAGTTGTGTATTTGGTTGATGTTTTTTAATAATGTCTGCACATTTGCTCTACTTTTTATTATGTAAAATATTTTAAATTGCCACTGAAATGCAGAAGCATAACCAGAAAATGTTCATAAGGGTGGCCAGGCAATAACCAATCTACATTGAGAGGTGGCCGAAAGCGGATAGGCACCAGAACCTCAGGGTCAATCAACAATGTTCCAACAGGAAAATTAACAAGCAAAACATCCATATTTTCTAAATAAAGACAAAATATAAATATATATATATATTTCCTACAGCCTTTGCTAACAAATAGATGCATATATTTAAACACTCAACAGGTATAGTTTTGAGTTCTGGGGCTTAAATCTTTTCCATTGTCATTACTTACCTACTTGTATCAATAAACAATCTGCATAAAATTGATATTTACAAGCACTAACATCTACATAAATTGATTATTTGATAGGTTTTTATCAATATTTATCTATGATTTCACTGAACACTCCTAGATGACTTGCATAATTTTCTCTTTACCCCATGTAACACCAAATCTAGTTCTGAAAAGAGCTTCTGTACTTTTAAATTCGGTACTTATCATCTTTGACGTTAGCATATTGATGCGTATAGTTAAACAAAAAAAATGTAAAATTTTTTGAATATTCCACTGTATTACTGCTGCCACCATCTGTATTAAGGGCTGGGTATATTCCTGCAGCTGTGTGTCGCAGTGAGCTTGACGCAGACATTTTTGATTTATGCTCAATATTGAAGCGTGGTCTACGCTATACGCTGTTGGTCTAGATGCGGCCGAGATGATGAGGAAGTGGGGGCGTGTTTAGTCCGACAACGGAGGGACATGACGGCGAAAAAGCGCGGAGATCCAAGTGGAAAAAGGGTCCCAGCGTTCTCGCGCACCTCGATCTCCTAGCTGGTCCAACTTGTTTTCCGCAATTTCGGTCATAAAAGCCGGCCTCCTGTCTGCGGTCAATTACAATTTAAAAGAGGTGCAGCAGAGTGTCAGCGGAGGGGGCAGGGACTGCTTTTTGTTCACTGCGACACCTATGCAGAGGACCTGGTTTTGAAGTATAAATCAGCCTTTAGAGGGAAATAAATGGGAAGGGTGGCCAATGATTGGCTAAGGGTGGCCACCCCTGGCCCCCCATCTAGCTCCACCCGTGCTGAAATGTGCTATGAAAATACATTATTATCAACTTACATCTTTTTTGCAGCACTTATGTTTTTAGGTCTAAATGTCTAAATTGTATTTAGAGCCACAATTTAACATGAGCAAAAGACTCTGCATGTAAATTCTACTGTTATGGTTAATCAACAGCATAAGATTTGGATTTAGAAATAAAATGACTGATATGTATATAGCCTATGTTACTTTAATTATGGTGTTTTATAATAGATAATTCAAAGAACTTACCTGTCCACACCCAGGAGCAGTGCACTGGAAGGGCTTATCATCACTCATATTAAGGAGTTCCTTTTATATCGACCTATATTAAATAAAAAACAAAAAGTCTGACCAAAAAACGACTTGCAGTAGAGAAGTCATTGTTTATAAATTTAATAAGTTATACATTTAATAAGATCAAGGATGGAGCCTGTGTAATAAAATGCAGCCCTGATTGTAAAGGTAGGGAGCACAAAGCCTTATCGATAAGGGGCGGCTGCTCTGGTTGTTTACACGTCCATTCTCCCATAGAAACCGACAGATTTATTTATTCAAACTCCTAATGAAGGTATCATGTTCTGCCTCTAAGTAAAAACACTCTGCGCTCATATAACAGCTGTTTAGTTGCTACACTGGAGGCGTTTATCTGTTTCTGGTCGCTTCCATGAAATTTAGCCCTGCATTAACACTTAGCCGTCGCCATATTAGCAGCTACCCAGCGATGTAAACATATATGTCAGCGTCTAGTTTAGCTCCGGTGTTATTGCTCCGAAGACAAGTACCTCTGGATCACACCAACGTTGGATTTTGACACAGTTGAAAATACGTCCATTATCAGTTTATGTGGTCACTTACCCCCTTTGCCACAACCCTCGATTTCTAAAATCCCACGACTTTTCCAAAGTATCGCGAGAGCAAGCCAACGTCTTCCGCAAACGCTACACCCACATAGGAACATGTCTATAGATTCTAAATGGCAAGATTAATGCGGATAGAACTATGTAAGCACATCTTAACGAACAGGAACATCATTTTAAAGGTTATGTTATATTAACCCAAACATTTCCAATACAAACGTGTTTGATCAAACATTTGGATCATTCTAACTACGTTGTCCAGTAGTGATATCCTCCACAGAAGGACCTAAAAGTCAGCCATAGCCATTACTGAATGATTTTACTTTGAAATTAGTTTTGTACTGCCCTACAGGTTTAAGATGTTTCCCTGCTTTCAAACACCAGATTCAGATGGTTGCAGTTGAGCAAATCCCTGTTAGTCATATGTTGAAATCTGAGCTTGGAAACAAAAAAACATGTAAGACAGCCTTGAGAAGCAGGTTGGGGAAATGTGACAGTGCAGTGAAGTCCATTCAAGAGTTTGGGGAAGACTAAAAAGGCATAGACTGTGATGCTGGAGTCTTTGCTCCAAAAGCTACAGTTCAGGGCAACTTGCACTCTTCACTTAAGCCTCTTCAGAATCAGACCTTACAAGCATTTAATATAGTCAGAGATTAGGGGTGCAGATCGCTGCTTGCAATCAAGTTTAATGCAGTTATAAAAAATAAAAAAAAAACTGCTGTTGGTCCAGTTGTTTCCAAATCTAGAAGTGCAAGTATCTGAGGAAATACCTTATATTCCTTTACAACAGTGGTCTCATATACAAATCCCTAATTGCATGTCCTATAATTTTAAACATGTCCAACACACCAGAACCAAATGACCTGTGTCCAAGCTCTACCATTGAGCTTTTATTCGAGTCAAGTCTGCAGAAGGAAAGATATCCTATTCTATAGGCCTAATAAAACTTTATACCTCATAACTTCACCTGCAAGTTCACATGGTTTAATTGTACCACAATGTTACCCTCTGATCTACACCCCTTTAAGAATCTAAGTTTTACCAAGAAAACTTCAAAGCCTCAACAGTACCAATATAAAACAGAACCACATTGTTCCAATTATTCAGTGTATCAATGTTTAACTATTTTTATTTTATTTTTATGTATGTATTTATTAGACCATGAGTCCAGAATAAAGTTTATCCATCTATCTAATGTTATAAAATAATGTGTAGTAATCACATCTGTATTTAACTAATTGTATATCCCAGTCTTTAGCACAGTGCATTTCTTTCTTAGCATTAATAATCCTTAAAACAATGTCTTAAATTTGTTTGAAAGACAGATTTAACTTTATTTTAATGCATCTGCCATGACCTAAAATGTAAACTAAAGCCATTTTAAGCCCAGATGTTCTTCGTACAGCCCATCACCTCTTCCTTAACATGCGTCACTGTCGATCAAAAGTGAATCATTTCCATTTTATTCACACTGAACTAACTGATGAAGTCAATTTTACTATTTTGTAGCCTTTAAAATATGATTTGGAAGGAAAAGGAAACATTTAACTCAATTAAATCATCTAGGTTTATTCAGTGCCATATACAAAAGCAAGTTTTCACTTGCTGTCTAATTACAGTACTAACTGCAGCTGAATGTCAGTCATTAAGGTGGACCCCAAAAAGCTAAGTGAAAACAAGGCTTATTTATGGCAGGTCTAAGCAAATCCTTCACTGAAAAAGATGACATTCATGAAAGTACATCGCCTTCAGTACGGACAGGTTGATGTTCCAGACAAAAGTAACTGCCATTATTAAATAGTCAAATCCATGTATTTTAATTGTGTAGGATCTTACATTTGTACAATACATGTTTTGCTTATTTGGACAGCGTCTGAAAGACTTGAAAAATGTACATTTCCATGACACCAACACGGAACAATTTTGGTAGCCACAATAAAATATGTAGTCACATCTGTGGAAGGAGATTGTTGCAGGGGCTGATTTTACATAGCAAACAGGATGAGGAAAGCGACCATCAAACAGAAGAGACCCATAGCTTCAGACAGGGCAAATCCCAAGATGGCATAGGAGAACAGCTGCTGCTTCAGAGATGGGTTCCTGTAATCGACAAGCCAAGGGTTACTCAAAAAGACCGCCACAATTCCAAACTTCTACATGTGCTAAAATTAAAACCAACCTGGCATAGCCAATAATCAGACTACCGAACACAGTCCCAATTCCAGCACCGGATCCAGCAACTCCGACTGTGGCAGCTCCAGCACCAATAAATTTGGCAGCAGTGTCAATATCCCTGCTTACGGCGCTGGTTTGAAAGCCTCTCAGGGAAACCTGGGTGAGGGGGCTCTGTGGCATCACAGCAACAGTGCTCTGCAGGAGGAAAAGAAAAGTCCCTCTAATTTAATGACCAATAAAGACAACCAAGGCAAAAAAAAAAAATACTCTTTTAACTTGTTCAAATGTCAATAGCTCTGCAGCTGTATAATTTATAAGAAACATACTTCAATCAGACTCAGAAAGGTCATAAGGACACAAGGTTACTTGACTTTCCTCAGGTCATTATCAAAACAGAATTTATAATCTAAATCCCATTTTAACCACTACTTGAAATCTTTACCTCTGTTTTGGCCTCAGGCCTGGACAGTACAGAGGCAGACAGGGGTCTGTAAAGAGCCCGGGAACCAGCACGGACCTGTAGAGACATGGAGAGAGGTGGAATTAATAAAAGTTTGATTTCATTCATTTGAAGTACTAACATTCCAAGTCATCACTCCCACACATATTAGACACACCTTACATGTCACTAATTCACAGCAACTAACAGCTGCAGAATTCAAGTGAAATGGAAATACAATTAACAAGTAAAAGTAAATCCGTTAAATAAACTTTCGTTACCATTTAATTAGAGGTTGATCTGATGCTGCAGGTGTAAATAGATTAGCTTAATCGATTATCCTGGACGAGTAACATGACCTTGGACGTATGCAAAGTGTTAAGGGTACTAGTACTTAAAGCATGTCCTAATAATCAGTTTTTCCTAACTAATTGCATGTCATGCGAATGCTTTTCCTTCTCTCAAACCGGTGGGCTAGATTAGGCTAACAAAGGCATTAGCCTCTTCTAACCTGACCTACAAAATCATTCACGGCAGTAGATGTAGTAGTTAGCAGTATTGCAAAAAACAAAACAAAATTTATATTTTAAGTATTCAGTGCATTGATCTTGCACGTCCTAGATTATTTCTTTATCCGCGAGAGGCTTGGCTAGGTTTAGCATTAGCCGCTGGCTAACCACCGGCCTAGTCGGCGGATACCCTTGGAAACAAGCTAGTCAAGTTCAATCGGAGGCCCACTAGATAAAATGCAAATGAAAGTACATCACAGCGATTCAGCCAGACAGAACATTTTAAACTCACCATGGCCGGCGTGGAAACAAACTTTGCACAGGCGTACATCTTGTAATTTAAGGTATTTTTAACCGGTTCGGTCAAATCTGATAGAAGCCCGGGTCTCTCTGGAAAAGGAAGAGCGGAGAGAATTAAGGTCAAACGGATGTAAAAATGTCCGCAACAGAAAATAAAGACATCGGAATGTACATTCAGATTCACCCTGTATGCTATTCTCACTTGTAGATTGCAAAAGTGAGCTGAGCAAGAGGATGAATGAAGATTTAAGAAGATACGGTTCTCATTCAAACAGCCATTAAAGACTTACCGACTGCAGAGGTCGAACCACAGTGGAGGAGAGAGAGCGCATGCGCGAGCTGATGTAGGGGAGACCCGGATGTGAGTGGAAGGTCATTTCAATAAAACTTTATTGAAAACGGAAAAGGGGCAAACAGAGGAAGGCCAATGGCAAATGTAAAAAAAAAAAGAACATAAATGATATAATAAAAATAAAGCCATCTGTACTGGATTTACTATCTAAAAAACAAAACAAGTAAAAAGTCCTATAACCCTATAAGACTGACGACATGGTACAAAACACTGTATGGTCAAAACTAGTTCTGACCTTATTCTCTTTGTGGTAAAGTAGATAGGATTTTCTCATCTATTATGATTTTCAGCAGGAACAGTGGATTTGCAGCTTTAGTTGAATCTGTCACTGTCAAACATAAAAAGAACCATTGCATAGCTGACACGCACAAATATATTTGTATTTAATAAGCCTTGAGTGAGGTCTTTGTTTTTTTTTAAGAAAAGATTTTAAAATGTTTATCTTCATCAGCTAGGTTCTCTAACAATCCATCCCTTTTTGTCTGTCCTCCCTCTCTTCACTTTAATGATTTAATAAAGACACTCAGCCAACCATGGGAATATACTATATTTCCCTCTGACAAAAAGGCACACATTTTTATAAAAAAATTACTTTGAATGGTAAAAAAAATAAATAGAAAGCTTTGTCAATATTTGATTAACAGAGTAATCTGGCCCCAAATCTGGCTATAGATATATTTGATTTTTCTGCTTTATTAGCATGGTAGCCTCTGCATAATGTTACTTAAAACAATTTCACAGAGACAAAAATGAATGGTTTATAGCAAGGGAGTACCTTAGTGATGAAAGTTGGTGGGGGCGCTCTAAGGGTGGGGGCTGATGGACCTACAGTACTCCACAAAAAACGCTTTCAAAAATGTTTGTATTTTCCAAGAATGAGCTTAAACATCTATTTATTGAATGCTTTCCTATTGTTGAGAACACAAAAGAACCATAATACACTGATATTTAGACTGATACTGCCTATTTCATTTACACTGATATAGGTAGTTGCACATTAATGTATAGAAAAATAGGATGAAGAACAGCTAATTCCAATGCCAACAGCAATATGTCCTGCCTCCCTAGTATGGACACAATTTCAGTTTCATCCATCCATCCAGAAAAATGTGGATTGACTGATGGAGATTTTCTCTTTCAGCTACATTAGTGAATATCCTCCTTCAAAAGCAGCAAAACCAAATTTTGAAAATTGTCCTACATATTGCCAAAGTTTATGTACTGGAATTATCGGTGGGGACTCTCCCCACCAGGCCAAAGTTGGTGGGGACATGTCCACACCAGTCCTTCAGAAAGTTACATCCGTGGTTTATTGTGATG